ACAGTTGTTCCCTATTCATGCGAAGTTCCCCCCCCCCCCAGTTAATGCAATTTCATTAAATCCCGATTATAAAAATCCAGCAATGAGTTGCCAAACTTTTCCGGTTTAAAAATTTAAAAATTTGTGTGGCGCCATCTGTTATGATATTTTATTTTAAAAACTTTTTATGATATTAATTATTATAAAATTGCAAAAAGTTTAATTTTGAAGTTATAGACGAGTTTTATTTATTTATTTATTTTTTTTTTAATAAATTGTAATTGCTAAAACGAGTAAAATGTTAATTCAGTCATGAAATGACACGTGACCATCCGTTATCTCCCTACTCCCTCCACATTTAACCACTAAAATTTAACGACATCAATGACCCAAATACCCAAATCTCCCTGCAAAATTTCAGAAATTTTCGACAAAAAGAACAGGAGTTATTACGACTTTAGACTGTAGCTACCGTACTCGAGACAGGGCCTCTCAAAGGTCAGGAGAAACCAGGCCATTTACCTTTTTTTAAGCCTCCCGGTATGTTAAACGAAAGAGAACAGCTTAAAAATTGTGTTTTATTTTTTAAAACAATAAATAATGTTTTCTTAATAATTTAGGGGCGAGATTCTTTAAAAAAGCCAGAAATTCAAGGAGAAAGAATGATGGCTTCTCCCAGGCTGTCTGTTTATCCTCTGTGTAGATTTCCCGTTGTCTCGGACTTAATTTTCGTTCGGCCGTATTATAAGAATTTTTTTCGGTATTTTTAATATTAACTTTATCCAGTTTGATGTTGCATCAATACGCAAAACCCGAAACCCCGGCGGCGACCGAGAAATCTTTCCGAAAAGGAAATCCTAAGAAATTTGATTTATTCGTGCGATGGCCGAAAATGGACGAAAAAGTTATTTTTTCAAACGAATTTCGGGCAATTTTCGGAGATGGTCGAGCCTTAATTTCCTCACTCCTTAGAAATGAAAAGAACACCATCGAGAGAAAATAGTGCTTCGGCTGAAACAACTTGAAAGGTTAGAAATGTACTGTACAAAGCTTTCGTAGTTAACTTCAAGGAGACAAGACTCTATTTCGTCAGGCTGGAGAGCGTATAAAAAGTTATAAGCGAAGGTTTCTTCTTCCAATTGTCAGACTAGTAATATCTATCACGTCTTTCTTAATTATGGATAATTAACAGAGACTGAGATTAAAACAGTTCTCTTTATTTCGCCTATTTCGGATTGGTCGCTATTCGCGCTCACGGCTTTAGTGTCTTCAACATAATGTGAACAAAAGATTAGTTCGTCTTAATATAATTTTGTTATCCACAATGATGGATATAGTGCACAATTTGTACACATCTTAATGGTGTAGTTTCTACATATCAGTCTGTTGCACTTACTGGCATGTTTTATTTGTTTATTTTTGATGTGTGTGGTTGCAGCCTTCTGCCTTATACGTGTCGTATATATATATTTTTTTTTTTTTTTTTTTTTTGCTTTTTTGGCTACTTTTCGGCCGTGGGGAAAAAGGGGTGGCAACCTGGGAAAGGTGTAAGGGAGGTACTTAAGGCATTCACGGAGGTGCTCCTTCTACTGTGGACTTGTTTTTTGGTGTTCCTGAATTAGATTGGGTTACAACAGCTAGGACTATAGAATTGTAACGGTGAGAATTTTTTTTTTAATGTGTGAAAAAAAATTGTATCTGTGATCCGTCGTTATAATTGTATCTTGTGAACAGTCGTTATAATTGTATCTTGTGAACTGTCGTTATAATTGTATGAAAATATATGTACAATAGAACCTCGATTATCCGGACTAATTGGGGATGAAGGTAGTCCGGATAATGAAAAATCCGGATAATCGAAACAAATACTTTAATTTGTCTTTTAATGATAATACAACACGTTTTCTTTTCGATGACATATCGGTAATATTAAAAGTAAATACAGTTGTCCCTCTATAGTCCGACGTCTTTTAATCCGACATGCTCAGTAGTCCGACGCACCTCCCGTCAAGGTACCCGTCCCCGTTACGTGTCTGCTTGCACAGAAGCATGTCGCAATGTGAATCTCTCCATCCAATTCTTACTCGATGACACACATTTCGTGTGTTTTATGTGAGCAGTTCTGTTCGAACAGTTGGAGTAGAGAATATTGTAAGTTACTGCTAGCAAAACAATGCGAAATATGTAATTATTTTCGGTAATCCGGACACTTTTGGTAATCTGACACACCTTTGGTCCCATACCTGTCGGATTATCAAGGGACAACTGTACTGTATTTAAATCGTGATCAAATTTTCAAGAAACAAACGTTCGTATTGAATTTGGACTACTACTGACCAACCCTAACAGACTACCTATTGTTTAAAACAGGGCTGTGGAGTCGCGTAAAAATCTACCGACTCCGACTCCGACTAGGGCAGACTTGTTACCGAAAGAGACCCGGAAATTCTGATGTCATCACGTGACCTCAGAATAAAATATTCAATAAATAGAGTTGTAATAAAGATAGAGCGTAGAAACTTTTTATTCTAAAGCTAAAAGACTTCTCTAAGTAATATATCAATATAAACATGTATTCGATAATTTTTACTTTTCCGGCTGTTATATATAACAGAGGGAAAGTGTAGCGCTTGGTCAAAAACTGACACTTTCCAAATTTTTACATTTTTTGACTCGGAACACCTTGAAATTTCGAGATATGCAAAAGATTCGAGTTTTTTTCTGTGTGTGGACTTTAGACTGTATGGGGGGGCATGATTTCGTTCACACTGTTTGAAGCCTAATAATTTCTGTGGTCAGAGTGGTCAGAATCGGAGTCAGATGATTTAACACAGGAGTTAGTTATTTAGCGTCAAAGTGGTTGAACTAAATCGTGTCCCCATATACATTCTAACATCTTAGGCGAGAACATCTTAACTGGTTTTACTGTACTATTATAAAATGACAAAAAAAGCTTACTTTGAGAGTAGAGACGAGTTTTATTTTATTGTTTTAAATTTTGAACGCTAATAACGAGTAAAATATTAAGAGATATGACACATGACCACTTTTATGTCTTCACCCCGTCGACCTTTAATTAAGAACCAAAATTTAATAGTATTAATGCCCCTTTATATGCAAGCTACAGTGCCACATTTCGCTTCTTAAACTTTACCCGTTCTGAGATAATATCTTAGAACAGAAAATAAAGAAATTAAACAAATTAGACGCCAACACACACGTTCGCGCGAATTTTCCGCCTTTATTGACTTTTTTGAGGGGTTCGGGAGGTCTCCAAACGTGTAGATTTGCAAACAAAAAAACTTGGAGGATCAAATTAGACACGATTTCAATACTTTTCCGTTTTATATACATAACAAGTTGGTAAGTAAAAAGGAGTCGGAGTCGGCAGATTTTTTGACGACTCCGACTCCACAGCCCTGGTTTAAAAGGCCCTTTGGTGGCGCAAGAAGACGGATTTTATAAAATAAAAAGCAGTTGAAACTACATTTTTATGAATAAAAGTTTGACAAACTATTTATCGTTTTATCACGAGTAAAATTTTTCCTCGCGTTCGCGGCTTTTAAGTAATGCATAAACCTTCGAGGCGCGAGGCCCTTCGGACCGCGAGGCATAGGCGGTGGCCCACGTCGTCCATGCCTTACGTCGCCCTTGGTCATAGAAAAGATCAAAATTTAGTTTCCATCGTAAATATTTTCACAAACAAACGATAACTACGAGCAATTGTCTATTGAGACACGGTCACAATGCCGGACTGCAATTCTTAATCATATTTTGAAATCATTTAATTCAACATATCTCAAGTTAGTAGTGGCTTGCCCCTGTAGTACATCACACTTTTCCGTTGACAATAGTCATCTGTTAACTGACGTTCTGAATTGAAAAAAAACACGAGACTTTCGGTTTGAATCGGAAGATCGTATATAGTTAATTGGGGCCTACTGTCTCTAAAGTTTCTACATCTGGTCTCGGATTTCATATAATTCCGTTCTCGAGGTTAAGACACGCGGACGGACGACAATGACAAAATTTGGAAATAAATGCAGCATTCCTCCCAAAACAAAATTGTCGCGTTGTAAGTAAAAAAAATTCTCAGCGGCCAGGAAATAAAATATCCTGCGAAAGTTTCAAAATTGGATCAACACTTGCGGACGTGTCAAATTGATTAAGCGATCACACTAAGAATTTAGGGGAGAGATCCTTTAAAAAGTCAGAAATTCAAGGAGAAAGAATGGTCGTTTCCCCCTAGCTCGGTCTGTTTATCCTCTGTGTCGATCTCCCGTTGTTTCGGACTTAATTTTCGTTTGGCCGTATTATAAAGGTTTTTCGATATTTTTTTTATACAGTAAAGCGTCAATTATCCGAAAGAATTCCAGTCGGCAAATTTAAATTTTCGCCAGTGCTGTGGCGCTGCAATCTTTGGCTATGTCTTGGGCTACTTAAATATTTTACGTTTTTGATACTAAATTAACTTCCGAAGTATAATTTTTTATTGTTTTTATATTTTTCAATATATTTATTTTGTTTGTACAAAATAAAAAAATAATTTTTAACGATACAATAGTCACGATTATTATTTTAAAAAGGTTACGTTAGGCTTAACATCGACGAAAATTCAACGCGAAGCGACACGCAACGGAGAAAAATTTCAACATGGGATAGGTTAATATATTTTTTCGTACATAATCGGTTATCCGAAAAATAAGTTATCCGAACAACCCGTCCCCAATTGATTCGGATAATCGACGCTCTACTGTATTAACTTTATTCAGTTTGATGTTGCATTAATAGGCGAAACCCGCGGCGACCGAGGAATCTTTCCGCAAAGCGAAATACTAAGAATTTGATTTATTTCATGCCATGGTCGAAAATGGACGAAAAAGATATTTATTCCAACGAATTTCGGAGATGGTCAAGCCTCGAGACATAGAATTTAATAGAAATATTAAAACATTATTTCATTTTTAAATATGGATTAAAATCAACGTATAATAACGTATGATAATGCGATAAATAACTAATAATTCTGCTCTGCTTTTAAATGGCCTAATATCTTTCATGTCGTAAATAAAATTGTATAAAATATTTATTTACATGGAGACATTAGACATCTTATGTTGCATTTGATTAATATTTATCATCATAATACAGTAGAACTCCTCTAGTCCGCCCTCGGCTAGTCCGTCACTCCGGTTAATCCGACCGTGATCAGAGTCGAGAAAGTTGTCCCGACTTGTCGATGACTCACCGTCCGTGGCGTTTTTCTGTGTTCGTTACAGTATATGTTATACATTGTGTGTACATGTACAATTTTGTGTGTTTTCAACATGTCAGGAGTGAAACGTAAACACGTTACTCTTTCATTAATTTAAATAAAAAATTAGCAGTGCTACAAAGACTGGACAAAGGGGAAGATTGTTTATTTTACTTTTTTCTGATAATCCGACGTTTCTTGCGTTCCGACCATACCCCCAGTCCCAAAGGTGACGGATTACAGGGGTTCTACTGTATATATCATGATAGAATTATTATTGTCGTTAGCCAGCGATTTTACCTTTGTTGTTTCGTATAGTCAATAATAATAATAATAATAATAAGTCGTTTCTAATTAAAATAAAAATACAGTACTATATTATATTATGATCTAAAGTTCAGCGAATTCTTCGCAGAAAGAATAAGTTATCATGAAACACGTCAGAGATGATTATCACGTGACCGAATAGCACCCACAAATGTCACGTGACACGCTTCGTACGCCGATGTGTCGCTCCGCGACGAAATCAAGCTTAAGCAATTAGAGCCAGAGTTGCCAGATTTGGCTACTTTGCGCCAAATTGGGCTACTTATTTTTCAGTTTGGCGTTAACAAACTGAACGCAGTTTGGCGTTCAGTTTGTTTTGCGCACAGAACGGTAATACTTGTGCTGTCTACTCGTTTTGTTTTTAAACATAGTATAATTTATATAAGTTTTATAATTTATTTATTATTGGTATTAAAACGGGAAAATGGACAAAGTAATCTTGGTCCTTTTGGAAAGTATGGCTTCAAGATAAAAATCTTAAAGGTAAGCACCTTTAAGATTTTTATCTTAAAGCCATTCTTTACGAAAGGACCAAGAATACTTTGGAAAAATTTTCCTCATTAAGTTGCATTTTTAAATATTTTGGCAAATGGCGTAATTTTAAATTTACTTGATTAAATTTAAACTTTTTAAAAAAAATAGCTCCAGTAAGTATTCAGTCATGCTTGACAGGAGAATTTTTAGTTTATAATAGCTTATTTTTTTAAAAGAAAATTTAATATAAATTCCAGATAAATGATATCCTAGAAAGAAAGAAATAAGAAAAGGAAATGCGTCTATAAACAAAAATGACTAATGGCAAATGCTATGCTATACAGAATGGTACCAAACATGGTTACTAGGGCCTAATTTTTATAAATATTAATTGTTTTTGATAAAATTAGTAACAAATAACGTTACGCTAATTGCAACTGTTTGCCAATGTCAGCTTCTTGTAAATGTCTTATATAGTGTTACATGTAACATACAAAATTCATATATTACAAGAATGCTATTATTCCTCAACAACAATCAAATGAGCAAAATGAACATGAAGTACTAAAATTTGAAATTATCACGTTGAAAAATCACTGGTAAGATCATCATCATCAGAATCTTTTTCACTAGAATGTTTTTGTATGGTTGAAGCAGATGATGATTTCCAAGTTTAACATTTATCGCTGTAAGAACTCGATTTTGTAGTTTAGTTTTCATTAAATTTAATTGCAAAAAAATACGTTCAACTGCTGCATTTGAATGAGGAAGCAATAAAAACATCTATTTACTGTCAAAGTA